ATATGTTCTCCCATGTGGGCTATTACCCAGCTGTTCTTTTCTTGACTTTTTACCTTAACTTCACTCCACTCGGGTTACGTCTTTCGTCTCTTGTGGTCCAATCCAATCCAAAAAAATAAAAGGGATTGACTGACATCACGATGGCATCTTTGAGTGACAAGTCAACGAGTGTGTGTGTGTGTGTGTGCGGAAGTTATGTAATGTGTAATGGGTACATAAATAAAACGTGGGCGATGTGATGATGCATTAAAAGAAAATATATTTATTTTCGTATAGATGGGTGGTGCATCATGGTTTATTGTTATTTGAAAAAAAGAAGGGAAGAACAAAACAAATACGTAAATTATGGAGATCTCGCTGGGAAAATGTAGGAAGGATATTTATTTGTGTGTACAATTTTGTCCTTGTGGAACCAATCTTGTCTACTTGTAAGCGGAGTCAATTGTAAATACGCATGCAAAAAAAGTAACTTTTTTATAGAGAACGGCACACTTGGGGCTAATATCATCCTCGAGGTATCATTATGTACAAATTGAAATGCAATAAATTGCCACGACTTGAACACAAGTACTTTCTCCCATCCTTTAAACGAGAGTTGCCTAATCTGAGATCAAAGAAGTACCATTTGAGTGCTCGAATGACTCTGAGCTATTTTATGTCTTACTTACAACCTACTTCAAAAAAAGAGAGAGAACAAGTCCTGTAATTTTATATAATGGAAATTGCCAGGTTGAGGAAGAATTGGGCCGAATTTGATTATTATGTGTATTTGACAAGATAAAGGTTTACCCTTAATCCAAATTTGCATAGATAAATAGTCAAACAAGTATATTAAATTGGGTGCAATTTTATGCCTCAAAATACCGCAATTAGGGAAACATTTCGAAATAAAATTTACACGTGCGCTTGAAAAAAATCGTTGGAAGCTCAACTTCAAATTCCAGTCCTGCTTTTTCCTGTCTTGTTAACTCGAGTTAAACTCGGGCCGAAAATGAAACCCAAACTCGTGTCTTGTTTTTCGAACGATGTATTCATGCACACACATCTCGGTGGTGTGACAGGTCTTTTTTTCTATCTCGGCGTGTTTCATACTGTGTACAAGTGTGGTGTCATGTGTGATATAATTCCTGGTAGATGTACCAAAGAGATGGAACCATCATAATGCTGCTGCTGGTGCTGTTAAACAGACAAGAATTGGACAAAGTTTTTCCTTCCCAGCTCTTTTCTACACATGGACACATCAAGCAAGTTAAAACTTTCGATTTTCTTGCTGTCACCAACTTCGGCTGGACTTGATTGATGATCGACGTCACTAAGGCTGAGCTACATTTACGTATGGGCCGATGCCTCCACAAAGTGGAGGAGGTTGAGGTGTAAATAGACTGGAAATTTCAGAATTCCTTGCTTTTTTCTTTAAAAAGCGAGAGAGTGAGAGATGCAGCATGGAGATGATGATTTGCTGTACCTTGTTGTTTTTTATTTGCGACAGCTTGGCGTAACCTATGGTGGGGAGATAATCTATTAGGAAAAAAACTTGTCTTGTTAGTTCGTGCTAATGTTTGTTTAGGAATTTGAGTAATTTATTTCTGTTCCTGCCATAACTCGTGTTCTGAAAAAATAAGGAGGCTTTCAAGGTTTTAGATTTCATGATAATATTTTATTGTCGATTTAAGAAATAGTGTAGTGGGAACTGTCTAGTCAATATTTTTCTGTACACTGTTTTGCGTGAGTTATCAAATGGTGGATTGAGTGATTTTGTCAGTGTTTTAAATATGAACAGTAATACATAACTAAAATATCTGGCTATTAGCGAATACACAGGACTAATAAGAGATTTGAAATATATGAAATATGCAAAAACTCACTCGTTAACTTTGATCTAATTAAATACGGTGCAAAAATCAGCTTTATATATGAAGCAGTAATTACATATTAGCAATTACGTAAAATTATTTAAAGTTGCAATTTTTTAAAGTTTTTTAATCATTAATTAAATTGTACATACTGACAAGCAACAACTTTTTCACGTAAGAACCACTCGACTCTTTCGTTCTTTCCTGTGGTTCTCTATTCTACTTCCTGGTTTGGTAAATGAGATTTTATGCATACATCCATTTACCGGTTTCAGCATGAAACTGGGTGATGTGATGTGAATGGGTTGGTGGTGGAATGAGTGTGGTTATGACATTATCTCGCGTCGCCGGATGCGATGAATAAATCCAAATTTTCTGTCCTAACAACCAGTGTAATCAGGAACACGGGTAGTAGATAACACTAAAAGCATAACGAAGCATTATGCACGAAGCCAGGTAGCAGAACTAATAAGATAAGTTTAGAATGCACAAACATCTAATGAAAGTGGCAGAATTATTGAAAAAATGTTATGACGAGAAGTCGAAAGTACTTTTTTGGGGGAAAATGAGCAATTATTAGAATTTGTAGATTTTATTTGACTTACTTATTTGTTAGTCACAATTTATCAGACAGATAAAAAACGCCAAAAGTTAAACGCTAACGAATACAATGTGCTTAACAATGTAGTAGATAAAATCGAACTATAGGATTACGAGATTGGGAAATTATCGTGAAATTACGGACTATGGATTCAGCTTAGGTTCTACATACAATAAAAATATGGCAGACAAATCTGATGCAAATTCCAATCAGGCATAATGTTTAATGCAAAATAATAATAATCCAATTAACGTTGTGCTTTTGATTATGCAAATTTCCCGTGCACTCTCACAACACCCTTAAATTTTGCATTTATAATTATCCAACTAGATCCATAATGAATCGTGCAAACTTTATTTCTGCATCTCCAATTAAGCTGAAGGCAAATTAGACCGATCTCTCACACCGAAAGGTTGAGCATTGCACCTCTGGGTATGCAATTCATATAACGACACCCACTCACCCACCCACCCTGAGTTTTGCCATGCCATGCAGCACCGGTTAATTAGCGGTCTCAAACCTCAGGACTCTTCTCTAATCGGATCTCGACCTCGCTCAACTTGGAAAATCTCCAAAAACGCAAAAACTTTCGTTCAATATTAGTATGAAACTTGAATGTAATTTTGGATAACCCTTCCATCCGAATTCTTACGATTTGATTGGTAGGATGCAGGCGGAGAGAAAACTGAGAGAATACCCAAGGGGAATTTTGTCTGTAAAGTTTTTCACTAAATTGTTACCATCCGTCATATCATATTCTTCACACTTTTTCTAAACTTTCGCAAGTATTTTTTAAAATTAAATATAGAAAATCAAGTGGTACCTCACATACGTTTGTGCATCTTCATATCTACTTAAACCTTCAACAAGACAAAGCTTTTCAAATCAACGAAAACTTTAAAGTTTCCATTCAAAAAAACTTTTTTTGTTCCCCCCATCTATCTCATCCCTACATAATTTTTTCATGAACGAAACGAATCCACGCATTTTTTTAGTTCCGTCTCATCTCCTCCCACTAAAATAAAGTATCGAGGAAATGATGCATGTGGGGCATAACTGACACAAAGTTTAATTGGATGGTGACGGACTGGGAGTTGTAGAAAGTTATTGGACAAGTTCGTGGTAATCACTCCTGTCACATTTCCAACTTTCTTCCTCTTCCACCAAACCAAACCACACACACCAAAACCTGCATTGTCTGAAACAAGAATGCATAAGTAATATCGTGCCGGGTGGGATGGCATTATTGAAAATCCGGTTATCCAAGCATGCATGGATTGATTCACATATGTATCGTTCAGGCAGGAAATCCAGACTTATATTGGAAATTTAAGAGAGAATTAAGGTTACATTTTGACAAATCAATTTTAATCTGTTCTCTCGGTGGTGGTGGTGAGGTTTATGCCGGAATTAAATTTCAATTGTCAATCGTATCAAATAAAGGCGACGACTTTGATTCCTCAATCCTCCACCAAAATTGAATGAGAGTAAGTCGGGAGGGAAGAAAACTTTAATTCTGATCTGACAGACTGTGTGAAAAGTTGCCATAAAATAAAGTGCCAACTTCTCTCCTGCCCTGACACCTTTTGCTTTGCACAGAGACAAGTAAAACTATACATACATCCATCCAAGTAATGGAGTGTCGTTGTCATTTCAATTTGCATTTGGCTCGTATGTATCTCTAGAAGTTTTTGGATTTACAAAGTAAGTATGCAAAGTTTCGTAATTCATGGAGGAACTGGTGCACAATTTATTACACAAGTTTCGCCCTATAATAATTTCCCCTGTCATCTCATTACATTGATGAGATCCAATTTTTGACTGACTTTTTCTTTGAAGAATTATTATTATTAGTGTGACCCCCACTGATAAAAAGTGTTTATAGACCAGTGGCTCATTTATTATCTGCACTGATTTGCTGTCAACCGTCAATTATAATTATGTTCAAGCATCACTTCTCACTTTGTAAGTGGAGCAGATCAATTTGTCGTCGGCATATGAGTGCAGCTAGCAAACCTTAAAATAGTACGTACCAACCATTCATTATTTGGGATGAAGTTGATTTGATGACAGATCTAATCTAACAAGGTCTATTATTGGTTGCGAAAGGTTCATGTCAGACAGTTATTCGTTCTCCCGGATTCAAATTGTGTAATGCATGGAATTAAATAAGTCTTGAAAGGATTCCTAAATTCGATAAATCTCAAATTTCTCAATCTAAATGCCACCCGTGGTTGAAGGAATGAAACAAAATGGGATCGGGAATAGAAACTTATGTATCCGACTGAAGCAAAATAGCGAACAATCTTGAATCTTAGATTTCATGTGTCGATATATGGTTAGAAATATGAAATTCTTTATTTTGCACGAATTTTTACGCCTCAGAAGCGAATCTCAATTTCTCAATCCCAGCTTCAGTATGCAAGTTTTTTCTTTCGTGCTTCATGCAGGGCAAACACCAAGAACTGCTGCAGTTCCACGTTGAGAATAAAATTATTAAAATAATTATATACAAATAAATGTGCCGTAGATTTAACTTGAAAAAATTCAGACATATTACATTATAATTTTATTTATTTTGTCACACTTGTACCATTCTCATACTTCTTTTTGTTTTGTTGCAGTGCTCGGAAATGAATACTGCTCTGGATATACGGATCTCTTCAACAATTGGAACACAGGGTTTTACTGTCCCCAGTCAGCATCGTCCTTGGCAGTCCATTGTTGCGGCACTCCAGAATTCAAGTATTGCTGTATAGTAAAGCCAACTGGGTTACCTATCGACTCGATTCGTGATGGAGATGATATCTCAATGTATATGTCTGAGTAAGTGGGTCTGGTTCTGTATGAAAAATAGATACAATTTACAAGGTATTTTGCCCTTTTCTGATTGCGTCACTAAAGGCGACTTATATCGTGAATCTACAACCCAACGCCAAAAATCGTGTCAAGGTCACATAGCCGGAGATAAGCTCACGAATATGGTCCCAATAGACGAAACACCTTTGACAAGTGATCAGAAAAGGAAAAAAAATCTCAGAATTGAACAATTTCTCATAATTTATCTATTTCTAAATAAGTGATACAACTAACACACAATTTTTTTAAATGCTGTTTTAAACTCGCTACTAAACATATTGTAGATTACTGGGTTAAGTGCGGAATTTACGTAGCCTAGCCATGTCACAGTTTGAAAAAATGTCGCCCCTATGTAACACTTGGGCAGGACACCACTCAATAAATATGTCATTGTAAACGGTGTCCAACAAATGACAAAAGCTCCAATCAAAATCCCCAGCGTTTTCGCCGCCTTTCTTTCCTTGTTGAGAGAAAACTTGATCTTTTTCTTCATAATTGCAGTAATCTGCTCGGAATGCTTCCTGTCTTCTTGGGCGGCAACTCTGCTCAAGAATCTTTGAAGGGTTGACTTCTTATCGTACGCAATTCGCAAAGACGAAGAAGTGGAGGTCGAGGTTTGAGGAGGGACTGACTTTGACCTTGCCATGGATGACGACGGTGTCGACGTGGAATCACTTAATTCAGAAGAAACATCTCTCCTCGAACCCTTTAAATTTTCCTCTTTTATCCTGTAATTGTTCCTCTTAAAGAAATTTGTCAACCTGGATTTCTTTTCTTTATCATCTCCTCCCACAGTTGTAATACTTTTGTCGTCAACCACTTCTGTTGAATTGTTCCCCGTGGCAATCCCCGTATCACCGGAAGACTGGTCGAGATCGTGGCTGCTGTGATGATCCAAACATTTCATCTCTGCCCTCTCCCTGAACTTTTGCCTCAAGAGGAAGTAAATTCTAACGTAGACTCCAATCATGACAAATGCCGGGATGAAAAAAGCCCCCGTGGCGGAATGCACAATATACCCGAATTTCCGGGTTAGCGCACAGACATCCGTGTCGTACTGGTCTTTCCAATCATTCCAGCCCAACACGGGTGGCGATGCGATCCACAGGGCTAAAAACCACAAACCTCCACAAACGACAGCGTTTGCTTGTAAAGTTCTCGTCTGGGCGTAGGACAGTCCTTCGTTAATGCTTCGGAAACGGTCCACAGCGATGGCGGAGATGTGAAGGATGGATGAAGAGCACAACGTCACGTCGGCAGTGAGCCATGTTCGGCAAAGTATGTTGCCCAGTTCCCACCCGTTATTTAGCATGTCGTACACGTTAAAGGGGAGGATGAAGATTCCCACGAGGATATCGGTCAAGGCGAGCGATAAGATATAAATGTTGGACGGGGTACGTAAACTTTTCTGTGTGAGGATGGCCCATATGACGAGGAAGTTTCCGAGGATGATGAAAATCATGATGAAACTGGTCGGAATCAAGGTTAGGACGATTTCTGTGGTGGTCCAGGAGGTTGGTGGGACGCAAAAATCGGGTGGTTCAATTTCTGACGGGAAGGCAGACGGGTTGGGGAATAGGATTGATGAGAAAGTTGTTGATTGGGATGATGATGAGTCATAAGTGATTGTGGATGATGAGGTGGAATCATTAGGGCTTAAAAAATAGTCTGTTGTTGTATAGGTTGCGGTGGTGGTTGTGTAACTTTCACTGGCATTTGTCCCCCCGAGAGTGGTGGAGAAAAAGTCAGACAATGAAGAAATTACGGGAGATGTTTCGTAACTTGTTGAATACGTGGAAGATTCTGAAGTACTTTGTGATGATGAAGATGGTAGCGTCGTCCTGAAGTCGGAATCCATAAAAGTTATCCCTTCATGTAACGTTGTGGGCGGAAGTTGTGTTGTTGTAGGATCATCCCCTCCTAGGATTTCAAGTTCTTGATCCGACATTTTGAACGAACCTTCAAATAAATATGATAAAAATATCACTAAAATGAATATTGTCACTAACTTTTTGAAAACACTTACCGTAAATCTCGTCAAAATGTGTTTATGTGTGTATTCAAAATTCGACATGCACATAGAACTTCTTGTAAGCTCCAACTACTACTAATTAAACGAAACATTGAGACATAGTTGTGGTATTATTCTTGTGACCACCATTGAGGAAATTGCAATGCCCACATTACCATTGTTTTTACGAGGTTATATACATACATGCATATCGGTCGGTACGTATTACAGAATTCGCATATCATAATCTAAAACTAAAGCCCATGTCACACTATACTTATATGTAAATGAACCTGAGAAATGAACTTGCATTGTGGGTGGATATTTATTTATAAAAAATGCCAACTCGCATATTTCTTGAGCTCCTCATTCATTGACAGGATGCAACAAATGGACACTTTATCAACAAATGACGCCAGAATAAATTTCATTAATTCTTCTATTACTTAAGAATGCATGTATTCCAACCTAACCAAAACTGCATTACTCATACTTTGTATCTTACTATATCATTTATATTTATAATTTCAGCACCCCCGTGATAATCGCAATAGCTTGTGGAATTCTGGCTGTCGTCATTTTGGTCATCGTTTCCTCCTATTTCTTCTGCTCGTGCTGCTTCATCCACAAGAAACGCGCAAATGTGCCTGGTGGTAAGAGTGCAGTATCGAGCATGTTGTGCGGAAAAGTGTTGCAGAATATTGTACAGCCAGACTTGTACTGATAAGGCAAATACGAATCGATTTGTCTATACGAAGAGAGAAACATGTAAACATCATCTTTCGTTATAGAATGCAACGCGAGTACGACGTATAAATCACACCAGTCACTGGAGCAGATAAATTTGGGATTGGACAAGTAAATCATAATTTACCACTTGGCCAATTCGCCTCCTCGAACATGATTTCCTTCCTTCCTTTTCTTCATATGTATGATTATTCGCAAAGAAAATATTTTTGCGAGTCGAGAATTCAGGATAAGTCCAGTCCAGTGTTATATAATGCGCATTGAAAATAAAAGATGTCAAAAGTTATCATTACAATATCCGATTTCAATAATTCAGGGCCCAGAGGAGTCCAATTTTTGATGTATTTATTGCCTACAGACAAATCCTTTCAGAAATGTTTGAGATTTTAAAAAGTAGGACGAATGAGCAAAAATAAAATAATGCCATCAAGTCAAAGGAATTTTGATACCATGTTATGCAGTATTTCTACTAATACTCTAGTACTCACTGCATTTTGGTGTATAAAATTGAGGCCACTTTGCTCGTCTCATCAATCAAAACTACATATTTCATGTAGCAAATGTAAAAAGACCACAATTGTCACAAGTCCTCTTGGAAGGATTTGAATATTCTTTATTTTACATAATAATTTTATGGTGATGACTTTATTGCCTTTTAGAGAAAGCCTCGAGAAAGAAGTACGACTAGAAAATGTTGCATATTCAGTTAGCTCATGACATTCCAGAAATCTTTCTTCTCGACAAAAAATAAATGCTTTTCGCTGGTATGCAAATGGTAACAGTTGGTCGTACATTTTTATGTCGGTGGCCATTAAAAATCGTTTCTAAACGGGGCAAAAAATGGCGAGAAAGTTTTAATAGCTTTTCTACCCCTTTTCCTTGTGGTGGTCGTGTAGCAAGCAATAATGGATGGCGAGACTAACCGGTGCATGCGGAATGGAATTGCGATATTAAAAGTAAACGAAGGGAGAAAGAAATGCAATGGGCGAATAATGAGATGAAATTGAATGAAATGATTATTATTATGGGTGAGTGCTACCCAGTAAGAACTTCCAGATCAGAGACTGTAATAAGGACAGAAAATAAAGTCTACGTAGGTCCTCCACCAACCAACAGTTGGTGATAATTAGTAATAGCACCAAAATTATGCACATGTTTACCTCTCAAAATCCAATAATAATATTCTGCAACTCGACAAAGCACAATTTGCCCGGTATTGCATAACAATCTTTATTATCAAACTTTTCCACTATATAAATACAAGTGGACACCGTCAATTAATTATGTTTATTATGTCCTCAGGCATGTACCGGATGGAAGAATCGTCCACTACCAGCTTTCACCAGCAGCAACAGCAAACACAAAATCAGTCCCTTCTCCCAAACAATAACTCATCCGCGGAAGGTTCATCTAATCAAAATTCACGTCCAATTATTTCAATTCAGCCTCAACAAATGCAAACAATTGGAATGGTCGGTGGTGGTGGTGGTCAGCAGAATCAGAATCCATCGACTTTCACTTCCGGAGGAGCAGGAGGACCAACCGCACTTTCACCCGTGGTCAGAAGCAGTAGTCTGATGGGATCCAATGCAATGCACCACAATTGGAACGGTGGTGACGACTGTGAACCACACCAAACCGTATTCCACATCAATAGCAACATGATTGGGAGTAGTCACCCTTCCTCCTCGATACACAATAATAATTCACATTCTGCAATCGGAATTCTCCCACCGCCCGCGAGGTTTTCTTCTAATCAGAACCTGACCAGTTATGGCGGCGGGATTGGTGGGCCGCTCATCTACGGTGATCGAAGTAACCCACGCGAGGTGCAAAAGTTGTATGAATATGGACCAATTTCTTCTCCTTACATCCTCACCAATAATGGTGGAGGAGAATACCTTCCAAGCCATCAATATGGACCAATTTCACCCTACGTTAATCACAATCAGTATTTCCCTTCGAATAATGTTAAGGCCGGAGGGGTGAGTGGTGGTGGGGGCTACTGCACTTCAACGTTGCCATCCAGCTTGCGAAGATCTGGGTCTGGATCGGCATCAATCACTTCCGCTACTGGAGGAGGAGGTCGTTCTGGCGTTGGTGGACCTCAACCGTTAAAGTCCATCTTACGAAATCCGTTAAATCCGCAAAATTCGACTAGCTCTTCGACCAGCTATCAATATGCGCCTGCTTCCATGCCAGGAAATACGACGCCGATTCGAAGTTACACGCCAATGTCGATGGGAAGCGTGGGCGGTAGCGGGGGCAGAAGAGTGACCACTGAAGAGTTCGACTTTGGAGAATCACTCCTCGCATCGGGATCAGGGTCTGATGAGCATTCTTATAACAGCTACAATTTTCCGGATTACAGTCCCAACAATAACGGAGATGGAAATGGCGGCGGTGGGGGCGGTGCCCGTCCGACGAGTTACAGTCCAAGGCCTGCGCCACAGCGAAGATTTTCTAATCCTACGACGGAATATCAGAATGATATCAATCGACTTGGCAATGATTTGGATCCAGAGTCACTCAGTCGACTAATTGAGCTTGATCTTGACTCTAAACTTTAAAATCATTCTTAGCAAAAAAAAATATGTAGCACGAATCAACCAATCACCGAAAAAGCACAAATTAAAGAGGCAATATTATATGAATTGAGTGGAAGAATTAAATGTTATTATTGTTATCTTCTTATAAAACTTTTACTATTGTCTATTATTACGTATTGATAATGAAAGAATTTATTGTTATTTATATATAAAACCAATGTTAAAATGTTACTGCTACTACTGATACTTTATACATAAATCAAAGAAAGAATAACGTGGTGCTGGGTTTTACCTGCTGAACCTGTGGTAAATAAAGTTTAATCCTTTTATGAAATTTTGACAAAATTTTCTATTGTATTTTTGTATGTTTTAGTATGTACATACACAAAAATCTATCCCATGATTTTAACTTCGTATTGTACTTCAACTTTCTACAATGACGAAGATCTCAACATCATCATCAACTTAACCAGAGAAAGCGAATTGGATTCAATTTTAACCCTGTCGTCTAAGTTCGTACATAAATATATAAATGAAATTGGAAGCCTATAACGAGATTTTTACAAATAGTAAGAAGATTTACTAGGAACTGGGACTTGGGAAAAATGTTGATATTACAGAAATATGAATTTTATACTCTCTTGAATATTTTGTTTATTTTATTCTATTTCGTGTCAGGATTAGATGACATCCAGGCATAATTAAAATCTCGAAATTCAACAGAAATAATAATTTTAATATCGTTCACGTGTATAGGGTATATTTATATCGCGAGGTTTTTTAATCAGTCCCATTTCCTAGTAAATAAATCTACTCGTGAAAAAATTCCATTGTAAACATCCGTCATACATTATTGCGTTGTGTAGTTTATTATCTTCCGTATTTTTTTGCGGTTCAAGGTTTCGTATAACCTTAGATTTTTGTCATTTTATCACAATCTTGCGTCCATTGTATTTTTTGACTGGTGACATGAAAGGATGCGAACTTGTCTTTTTCGATGCATTGTGTTGTTAGATTACATTTCTTCGCAGGAGTAATAAGTACTTTGTCCTACTACGTATTGCGTAGCTGTCATTCTTCACTGGTCATCCAATGTCTTCCTGGTCGGAGAAAATGCTGACTTATTTATCTCGAAAAAAAATTTTGCGAGGTTTTCCAGTAAATGTAGTGTATGTAATTTTATCACAGATTAAACCAGGTAAGATTTCGCTACTTTATTCGATCTCCACGTCGTAGATATCTTGGCATTGGTACAAATTGATGTGTTTTTTATTGGAACTGTTCAGCACAATGGGGAAAGTGGTGTAAAATCCTGAGCGAGTATCAGTTTCGGTGCCAAATGCTCAAATAATTGATTTTAATCATGTTCTACTGATAAAGATGAAGTATTCTCTGCTCACTCCTGGCGTGGAGTCAGTTTTATTATGTGGCCACTTGAGAGGTGGTAGCAAGTCTAGTAAAATAACACTCAATCTAAATCTAGACGAAAATGTCATTTTAACAGTAGGAAAAAACCAAAATTTCTAACCTATAAAATAATATGGAAAAATTCCATAAATTTCTTTCATAACATCAATAATAACATAATTCTATTCCCTAATTTCTGAACAAAGTCCCAATTTCAAAGACTCAGAATTATTGAGTTTTCCACAGTAGTACACAAACAGATTGAAGTTTTTGAAAATGACTAATGAAATTCCTCTTTAATTTCCTTGATTCTTTCAATTGAATGAAAGAGAGCACTGATTCTGATACACGCTCTGTAATCAAATCCGTCCAAAACTTATTTGCTCGGGAAGAAAACAAGTTTGTTCCTTTGGCAGTTTTTAAAGAAAAAACTTTCAAACGCCACCACGCCTTTTGCTTTCATCCAAATCAAATCAAATTAGGGTTTGGTTTGTGTATGGTTGGATGCTTTTATATGGTGGATGATGATCCATGTTTTTCTATGAAACAAAACGACCGTGATTGGATCACGATCGGGAATAGGAGAATGCCATGAAAAGAAATGAATTCAAGGGCGTGCTATCAGTTTATATTTGACCCCGTTGTAAGTAGGCACATATAATATTTGTGGTGAACTTTTACCAATTCGTAGCCCAAAAGAAGTCAACTATTCTCTCAATTTCAATTATTATTGGGAGAAAGTGGGGGAAAATCAGGGTGTATATTCTTCCTGTCTGAATTATTGTTCAAGTCACGGTGACAGGCTTAACCAGATATTGAACAAGATCAGGTTTCATTTTGCCCAACCACATCCGGTTTTCACGCATCATCTTGCATACTAATTAGCTGTGGTATACTTTCACTCGTCTCTTTTGTTGAAGGAGTGTTCTTCCCTTCTGAATTATTGAATCTTTCGGCTTAAAACTAGATAGACAAATGGCACTGCTTTATTATTGAAATAAATTCAAAATTATTTATATTTCCTAAATTTGAAGATTTCCTAAATTGATTGAAATGCAGAAAAAAATATGCGGAAGAATTTGTACACAAAGACGAGTTGCTCGAGCAGCAAGCGGGTTTCATCTATTGAGTAAAACTGATTCTGCTTTCTCCGAGCGCTGATAGATGCAGCTTCTGCTAAGGAAATAAAGTTGGGTCCAACTTTCTCCCAAAACTGTGCAGGTTGGATTATTTTCCAAGAGCGTGTTTTCACCACGCTGGAATTTTTGATACAGGACGTCACATATTTTTGTTTTAGGTGAATAGTTCAATTTTACTTTTACTTTTTAGCACCAAATTTTACTACCAATTGTACTCGTATAATTCAACTAAAAGAGAAATTATTCATACAACTAGCAATCAATTTACTAGGACATTGATTGCTTCACGTCTACAGCCTTACATGACATATGTGTTACAACGTGTGGCGCTTTCCTAGTCCCGGAGGAACACAACATGTAAAATTAAGATGGGACTGGGACCACTGAATTGGATTTCCACCTGGATTGAGATACGACTTTCTTCCTCCTCCTGCCATTGTTTTTTGTTGGCCTAACTTCTTTGTCAAGCAAGGTGACATTTCACTTCATGCTCATAAAAGACACACTTCCATTCCATGTAGAAAACAAGGGCTCGATCTTTTTCTTATGTGTAGTAAACATCCTCGTAGAAGAACCAACCACTTTACAAAAGATCATGATTGTCTTCGCAAATTGAATTCGCGTTGTTGTCTCTTCTTCCAGGTTTGGCTGGAAGCTGATGGGTCTGGTCCTTCGTCTGGATTGAAATTGTATTCTATTGCTCTTCCACCTCCATCTTTTTGGGTTACCTTTCTTTACCTTTCCTTATTTAGACTTGGCACTCATTTTGTTTTATGTTATTGCAACGCACGTACAGACACAACACAACCATTCCCAGATGAGGGTATATGTACGGATGGGAAATAACAGTTTCTTGAAATTATAGGATTGCATGTATGCGAATGCGTGGTTCCATCTGGGTCTGGGTGGCCGTTTGAATTCAGTAATAATAAAATACCCAGTAGAGGTTTTATCCAAAGGGAAAAATTTATGAGGATGTCTGTTCCGTTGTCTTCAAATTTTGAAGGGTGGGATCCTACCTGAAAGATCATATTTTTAGCAAGAGCAAAATAATTTCCGTGCGTGATTAGGCGAAAAGTCTTCAAGTAATCGACTAGCAGTACACATTTTTAAAATTGGGCAAAATGACACTCTAATATGTACCTACATACATATGTATTTGACTGATAAATTCTATCCGAAAAGCCAGTCAAAGTAAACAACACAAGTTTTACAATATGGCAGCAACGAACCCTCTGGAGAAAGTCTTTCACTTACAATAGAATCCAAACTGGGATAAATATCCCTTAAATTTTCAACCGAAACTCATCCCATTCAGTTTTACGAGATGGAAAGGAAAGTGTTTTACACCGCCATGGTTGGTTTTGTTCATTGGTTGGTTTCGTGGTATAGATTGCGTTGGGAATTGTGTCGATGGTGGAAGAACACTGTTGGGAAAAGAACTCAAATAATCTTTAAATTCTGGAGAAATTGAAACTTTTTGGGACAACGTCATAAAAATGTATTTCTCGCAAGACCAGAGGCAATCTTAATGCAATTTCATTAATGAGCACTAAAGAAGCAGCTACAAAACAATTAAGGCGGGATACATACGTACGTACGTTTGTAGGTAAAAGCTGGATTCGGGCCGTTCCTTCGATGCAACGAGGCTGGGAGCCCACCTTTAGTGCAATTTCTTCTCGGGTGTCAAATTTTACGACTGTTCGTTACTCGAAAGGAGTTCGCTTTTATACAACTCGGCTAATTAAACGGATTAAGTAACAGAATAGTGGAGCTTGTCGGGATGATTAAAAAGAGTTTAGAGCTCACGAGGGGATTTACTAATTAAATTGAGTGTCAAACATGGAATGGAATATCGTTACGTATGCTGCAACAAGCACACAGTAAGATCAAAGGAAAAGTTGAAACAATTTTGCTTACAAGTTTAAAAAATAGGTTGCATTTGTTTGCTCTTTTCGTCTGGTAAATTTTGTGTGAGAAACGTAGGACATGCAAAATAATTGTAGATAATGAGACACAAAAGTTTCGTATGTATGTACTTGCATGACTATTCTCCAAGTCCTTTTCAAGAAAAAACAGGGCATACTTACATATTTCGTGAGACTGTTGAGTTTTTGATGCAAAATTTAAATAAATATTGTTAAAAATAGACGCCGAAAACTAATTTTTCCAAATGTTTTGTTAACTGGTTCAAAGATGCGTACTCCTACTTTTCCTAATACTAATAGTCTGAAATTTTATATTCGTAATTCTACTGAGTAGTTGCACTTCTTAATTCACCATTCCGACCCAATAAATGCATTAAGTGTTTTCCTTCGCATTGGTCATTTTTCAGTTTATCCCCACTTTCACCACTCACCCATCGCCCTCCGTCCGACTTTCTCTCGCTGCCCCTTCATCGTCTTAAGTTAAACCTGTCGTGTTAGTCTTCTTTCTCAAGGAGTGAACAAGTCGGCATTACGTTTGTTAAGAAAAGTGGAAGAAATGGAGTTAATCTTCTTACCGGACCTTATTTACTTGGTTCCTTCTTCTACAACAACGTGACATTGGTAAAGTATTGGACGGAAGTAGTTCTTCGAGCACTTCAGAAAGCATGAGGAAAAGACTATTCACTAGACCAGAATTGGATTTCCTTCGCAGCAGCAGCAGCATCAAGTCAAATCAGTCGAAGAGGATTATGTACAGCGAATTACATCTTGTTCACTTTTCTCTCTCTCTCTTTTCCAGTGGGAAATCCCTTCTTTTCTGTTTTAAAGCCTTTTCAGCTTATCGGGCCAAATTTTTTGATGCTTTCTCC